CACACACACACACACACACACACACACACACACACACACACGTCCCCCATCCTCACCACACATTCCCAACCCCAAACATACATTCATCCCCACAAACATACACATATGACCCCCAACAAATACACAAAAACAAGCAACAATGCACATCAAATCCTAATATAAGCTCAAAACAAATACCTTCAAGAGTAACATGCATTTGTTTTGCTGGAACTTTGAATATGCGTTTTGTTTTCCGGGGGTTTTACTCTGGAATACTTCAGCGCACAATGTTGCAACTTAGACGAGCAAATTGGGTAAGTTCTCTCAATTCCAAAGCTATGTGAAGTTACGAGCCTGAGATTAATGTGTGGGAAAATCAACACAGTTTGCGTTTGTCGGGTTCTAAGGGTTAAGGGCCTTGCTCAAGGGTGCATTTGTACTTCAGTAGTAACTGATTTATTGCTGTGTATTTGAGCCTCGTCAAGTAAAGTGTTACTGATGTTTTTCTCTCTGGCCAAAATATGTCCGATATGCATCATCGTCTCAGTATCGTTCAGGGTGTGACTTTACATGCACCCTGTGATTGGCTGCCATCTCATTCAGGGTAGGCTCTCTGTGACCCAGCACTGGAAAAGCAATTGTAAAGGATGCACAGATGATGATGATGATAAATAATGATGCTGAATCACGACTTTGTTCTGCAAACAAAGCTAGTCAGGTGCTGGACTTTAGTAATACATATTCCTACAATATGTGGTTCTTTGTTCATGCCGTGTCTCTAAGCTGGCATATCAAAGAGGTGTTTTTCAACAGAGTGTTAATTCATTTGAACCTCCTGTGAGCAAATGAGAACATCTGCCAACAAAGAATGACCTTCGCTCTGAAAAACCAGCACTCTTCATTGAAATTAAGGCGGGCAGACTAACTCTGTGTGGAAGGAATTACCCAGACACAAGGCTGCAAAGTGATAAACCCCAGGAAGGTAAAACACATCGATAGTAACAGTGTCCAGAGCTGCCTTTTCACGTGTGTTGATATGAGCACATCCATATAATTCCTGTTACAGTTGTAGATCTGTAACTGAGGAGTGCGAAAGCATATGTCATTGATAAATGATGAAAGAAGAATATGTGTTTTGTTTGTATGTTTGTAATGTCAATCATGGGGCACTTCGATACTGCAGCGAAATGCGACGTAATCACTGGTGATATTTTCTCCTGTCAGCCTTCGCTTTTCAGAATACAGGCATCACAAGATACAGAAGCATATTGCGACTGGCATGACTGTGTACAATCTGCTAAAGTGTTGATAGGGGCTGTGAGCGTCTAACTGGTAGCATTGCTCAACCTGGGTCTAGTACAATGCTCTGCATTCTGCAGGCTTGGCCATCACATTTAGCGTAATTGAGTTACTCATTGAATTATATTCTAATTAGAATGCCCACACATGATAACCATCAACAAGACATAATTTGCAGTTACTGCATTTTGGGTCATCGACAGTCAACTCATTGACTTGGCTAAAAAGACCTAATACCCCTTTGTGAGAAACCTGACCAGGCTAGTCTTGACTATAGCTGCTGTTCTCCAAGCTGAACGGTGTTCTGGATTGCTGCACTCCTACATGGCCTGCCTGCAGCTCCCAGAAAGGTTGACCATCTGTTTGTGAAGGTCTGAACACTGACCTCAGCTTAGGTGAGAGAGGACTCTCTTTAAGGGATACTTATAAAAGTTTCATCTTGAGAGATTCTGCTGCAACCAGAAAAACTCCCCACTGTCCCAGCTCTGCTAGATTTGGGCAGCTCACCTCCGGTCCCTGAGCAATGCTTCTTGGTGTTAGACTTTAGATCACTACAGTCCCAATAAGATTGGCTGATTTATAACCAAGAATGTGCATTTTTAAATGGCGTCAGACATATTGCAGATATATTTAAATATAAACACAGGTTATTGTGCACATAAACAAAAATGAAAGCATCGGTGAGAAAGGAAAATAAATAAAAAAAAAGATCCACAGGGGCAGGTTTTAAAAATACCACCGAGGGCCTCGTTCCCCATGTGCTAGCGTATCTGTCATCCCGAGACCTCACAGAAATTGGTCTCCACACCATAGAGCCAGTGGGGCGGCAGCGAGGACATCCAAGGCAGGGGAGACAGACGGGCCGCGGTTTCTACGGGACGAGCGGTCAGGAGAATCCGGCAAGGAAGCAGGAAGACATGAAGCCACACTTTCCATAACTTGTTGCCATTTCCTCAGCTTTATTTCATACGATACATTTCACAGTTAAGTCTAGGGTGGGGGGGGAGGGAGGAGAGAAACGTTTATGTTCTTTTCTATGTTGATTTTCTCAAATACTTTTTGAAATGTCTTTTTTCTCTAATACTATTTGGAAGTCACTATAACTTTTATTGCCACCAGGCTCATTATATACAATAAAATACAAGCATGTTGTTTTCTTTTTTTGTTTAAATAAATCTTTAGTTATTGCACAATTTCCTAGTTTGGTTTTACAGGACAGAATCTGTAAAATAAAGCAATCGATGTTGACAATATAGTACAAAAAATAGTCTGTTATGTATACAGGTGCATATATTCATAGACCTTTCTGGTTTAAATATCCTGCCCCATATTTTTTTAGGCATGAAAATACTTTAAGGGACAATGAGGAGAGATGGGGGGGGGGGGAGGACTTGGTGATGTAATGAGACAGAATTTATTCACCCCAATGACCTTTTTGAAGTTTATTCTGTAACCAAGCATGGTGTTCAGGAGAACCTCAAACTGCCTTTCATAAATTTATTAAAATACTTAGCTTTTTGTTTCTGGCTGCTGTATGTGTTATAATCTAATGCTTTCACAGTACAGGCTTAGCAGGCTGGACCCCCTCAACTGACCATTTAAACCCAAGGGTTGCAGATGTGCCGAATGCCTCTATGTGTGTGTGTGAAGCGCGGGAGTCTCCCAGGTCCTAGCACCCGCCCTGATAATGGGAGCGTGCTGAAATGAAGGCAGCTTGGAAAAACAGGCAAATTAAGCAAAGCGGCGGAGATAGAATAACGACACAAGGTGGCCATATCTTCTGAGTGCGAAACGTGAAGGGGGAGACTCACAACATGTGAAGGACACGTGCCGTGCCGTGTGCCTTCCGGTTGCCATGGACACCGTGAAGGGCGGGGCAGCACCTGGAGTTACATTGGCTGGCTGTTACACCCTGACCATGTGCCTCTGAAATGCACCTTTACAGGCTTGCAAACACAGGTACTGATCTCACTGTGCCTCACATCCATTTGTTCCATCCCTTTTGAACCCCCCAAATCAACTGTTCTGAAATATTCTATTTCCACCGTGAGTTTATTCAAATAAATAACCCTCCTTGCCTGATTGACTATAGGAAACATGATGAAAAATGTCCCTTCTGCTGCTCGGACCCAACTAGGGACCTCACAGGATAACAACAGACCCTTCGCACCACACCCCCCCTGCACACACTCCAGAGCAGGTGACAGACTTCCAGCGAATGAGATCCTGTGGTGGGTGGGATTCCATTTGGCCACGACCCCTGCACAGTGACTACCCTGCTCCACATTCAGGCTAATGCGGTGGATTGATCTCGGCACCAACAGATGTTTCACTCGTTAATTAAGAAGCAAATGTGTCGTCAAGCTGCCGGAGGCAGCTGCATAGGTGCCCCAGGCCTTGCTAGCCCCCTCAGCCCTGCACGCGAGCAACGACGACTGCAAGAATTACCACCAAGAACCCCGGGAAGGCGACTTTAGCCACGTGACAGCGGGATGGGAGACAGGAAGGGGTTTAATAAACGCAGCAGGGAGGAATCAAGGCAGCGTCACAAGGCGGAATGTAAATGAAGAAACCAAACGGCTGCCAGGGTAAGATGAACGCCAGGGTCTGGGTGCAGTTTCTGCAAAACTCTGCACTCATTACCTGACTTTGCCGTGCCCCACGATGCCCATGTACTCTCTCCCAATATTATAATAATATATAGTATTGCTTGTCTTTACTGGGGGGGTTGTTCCTGCTGTGAGTAGCGATATACCATGCTGGAGTCTCGCGCTTGCCGACGGGACAGGGCTGCACGCCCCCATCAGAACATGGCAAATGACAAAACTGAGGCTGGATGCGGGGAGCGACGAAGGAGGCTGTGAAACAGAACAGTCCGGAAGAGAACGCACTTGGCAGGCACTGTTTCCGCGAGGTGGGGAGGGCCTCCTTCCGAAAAGCTTCAAAAAAATAAACCAGGTCAAGGAAAAATAAATATGTATACAGTGCAGGGGGAAATGAACTTCTAATGTCTGAACGGCTGTGAACAAGTGAAAACTCCTACGGACAGTAACCCATGTGTGGGCTGCCCAACCTCAAGTGACCCCCGAGTCCACAGGGCTGGAAGAAGCTCCCCTGGCACAATGATCACCAGCCATATGTCCCTGTTGAGCTCCGTCTAAATGTGACATGCAGCAGCACACGCAGAATAATTTTAACGGCTAATGATTTTCAATCGGGCAATATGCTGGGGCAGCCCAACTAAACTGCACCTGGGCAACGATTATTTCTATGTGTCATATGAACATGTAAGGGACATTAAGCAGAACAGTGATATGGTTTGATGCCCCTCCAATATAGCCCCTGGCCTCAGTGCTGTGGACAGAGGTGGGGCCCTTTGTCAGGATATGCATAACTGATAGGCCATGGTCTCAGATGTACATAATACATGTTCCTATAGATAGCAGACAGATTGCATTTATATTACCCTAAATATTGGCTATTATTTTTATTTGCATAGTAGATGAGTTGATGAAACACTACCACAAATATTGAACTGGTACCAGTACCAGCGCAATCCAGACCATCACGGTTTAGGTTGCCTGCTTTGAATGAAAAGCCCCAACACTCACCCCGGTCGGGCTCCTGAAGGCGGATCAGCCAGTGAGGATGCTGGTTATCATCGCTGACACATTAACTGGCAGAAATTCTACACGCCGCTCCCCCCCCCCCCCCCCCCCCCCCCCCACCCCCCCGGCAGCTGCCAGGGCCGTGTCTGTGAGCCACAGCCCAGGCCTAAAACATTAGTCAGGAGTTTCTGGTGAACTGGCAAGGAAGTGAGATGAATCCTTTGGAATGAGACAGCGATGATATTTCTGAGGGGGCGGGCAGGTGGGGGATGTGCTGTGCAGTCTGGCTGCTGTCAGATGACAGAGGAAACCGTAATTATGGTGGGGGGGGGGGAAATCAAGCACTCACACACATGCATGCGTGCGCACGCACAAATGCACATACACACACACTTGTGCTCTGTGTGATATCCCAGCATGCCCGCTAATACACAGCATGAATAAACACACTGACGTGCTGATGCGTGCGAGAGACACTGCAGTGGACTGGGACGCAGGGGTGCCTTATTTTTTAAGAAGAAAAAAGCACTTCTGCTGGGAAAAAAGAGTATCTGAGTGTATTATTAGGGAGGGCATGGATCTCTAGGGGCGTGGCAGAGTCAGGTGACAAGCGTCTTTCATCTGCAATCAGTTACCCATAAAACACCTGTTTTCTCTCTCACTAGGTCTCTTGTGCCCCGACAGCTGTTCTCCGAGCCCTGTTTTTCTTCTATTTTTCAAGCTGCAACCCCCCCCCCCTTTCCCCCCCAGTCCCAGTGTGACCTGGATGTGTTCCAGTTTCAGCTGTTATGTACATAGAGCATGACACTGTAATAAAAAGGTCACGTATCAAGAGGGACGCATCATTGCAGATCTGAAAGGAGTGAACCTCGCAGCCTTGTGTGTAAACCGTACGCTACACACACGCAAAACACACACACAGGACTGTAGATAAGATCACCCTTTTACAAGGTCTTTCCAGCACTGGCTTAGATTACACTGTTTGCTGTTTTACCTGCTCGGAAGGTTGCCAAAACCAATGAGATAAAAAAGATCATTTGCAACAGATTTCCTGCATCTGTGGCCATGACATTTCGGATTTGAAGTATCCTGTTGTTTTTAACGCTGCATGAATTTCCAGGCTGGTTTGATTTATTTTCCCGCTACATATTTACCCCCACAAAACGAGTCACTATGCTATTGTAAGACCGACCCCTAAATCTATAATTCTGCACACTCTGTGGATCAAACTTTGGATCACATTGATTTGTTTTGTTTTCGCTGAGTCTTTTTACCAAAATACATCGGGGAGATTTCACTTTCAGCAGAGCCTCTGAAAGCAGTCCCCAGAGTACTCAATTTTACTCCAAAAGTCAAAAACACTCCACCAACATCTCTACCCCTGTACCAGACCTGAATTGCCAATTTGAACCATAATAACTAGTCTTGTCAAAAGCCAGCATAAAGTGTTGAAAACATCTCTAAACGTAATGACATCAAATAATGATAATTATGTACTCAGAGCACAGAGAGGTATAAAAAAGTACGAGGTACTTTACATATATTTATATTTTATCCTGAATATATTTTGTGTCCAATTTCATTTTTTATTTAGTCCTAGTTACTGCAATGTGTACTTCACGTATAGTTGTGTTTGTTTCAGCTATATTTTGTGTCCAATTTCTTATTCTATTTTATGCTGGTTATTACAGTTTAACTGACAATTTGGATGTATATAATGGAACATAAAAATCAATCGCGGGGACATCCAGAAGGCCTCTCCAGACTAAAGTATGACCAGAAATATTTGAAGCTCATATAAGAGAAGTGTTCTGTTTGTCTCGCTGGAAAGACAGAGCGCCGACTTGTCAGGCCAAACGTTCCCTCCAGCACTGAGGCAGAGTGTTTCACGCCGTCCTCTCGAAATTGAAAGAGACGGCACAGATCAGGTTAACGCGGCGAGCCAAACAGCTAGCTGTCGGAGGGAAATGGGAGCTACACTGGTCATTCAATTCCAACAGCACCCAAAGCAATGCTCGATTACTCTCCTCGTATCACAGGCGGGTTCATTACCGGCGTTCCGATCCGAGAGCACCCCATTCTGCACAGTGCTAATTCTCCAACCAGCCCTAATAAATGCTATATTCCAGCCAGTTTAGCGGTCGCCCTTTTCTCCAAACTATCAGCGGAGGTGTGTGACTTACGACGGGAATAGAGCGCCGCTGTGCTGCATACATGCCACAGTAACTACGCTACATTGCTTGGCTGCTGCTTAAGAGAAACCGAACGCAGACATTTATTAGCCACTCAGGGCTGTGTGTAGTGAGCTGTACTGGGGCCCGTAGCAACGCCGCCTCGGCGACCCCAGCGACTACAATCCAATGACAAAGTCGCTTTCTTGTGCAAAACAGACTAAATAAAACCTCAGTCTAAGCAGTACGACGTCACCAAAACAGGGACCTCGGGGCAGCAATGTAAATACAAACAGAATCCTAATTTTGCTACGGTTTCTCAACACTCCTTTCCGGTTCCGGCACCCAGCGTTCTCACCGTCAAGCCATTAGTAGGTTAATTAGCAGGACTACAGTACCGCGTCCCTAGCACCAGCCTGGGGAGGTGGTATGCAAGTAATCTGGGCCCCGAGGCCCAGGAAGTGGTCAGAAGGGGCAGGCCGAGGGGGCATTTTGGAAGACGTCAGGAGATGCGGGGGGCGGGGCGGGGCGGTTATGAATAGCAGCGGTGCACTGGCATGTGTGCATGCGAACACTGACTGCGTTTGTGCTGAGTCGCTCCAGACGGTGCCCTTGCGGCGCTGGGGAGGAGACGGGGCGTGTTACCCTCGCATGAGCGGCCCTGCAGGCACATTTGCTTGCCTGAGGACCACCTCATGAGACTGGGCCGGGTTCCGCCAAGGCTTTTAACGTGTCTGCATTCGGACATCGTAAATAAAACAGCTCCATCTCTGAGCAAGTCGGGTGAAGGAGTTCGGCTCCACGCATCTACAAATTATTTATCACGCTAAATAAAGGAGCCCGCAACAGTCTCAAAAGGAAAATGGTGACTTGAAGAGGACTGCGGCCATCCAACACAAAATGAAGTTCTAACACGCCTTGTTCCCTGCTATGAATTCCAGTAATGACACATAATGCCTCAGCTGACACAGATCTTCTCTGACACAGCATTAAATCTAATCTATGGTCAGCTGGAGCTGGTCGATAAGCACGGTTGCTAGGGCGTCCGTGGCCCTTTATCCCCCCCCCCCAACCCCCCAGTGCCGCTATGCTTTCATTGCGATTTAATTCACCATAATGTGACACCACGGCGTTCAGCCGGGGCTGTCAAACGCTACCCTCGCGGAGCAGAGAAAGTCGCAGATAAGGGGGTCACGCCATCGCTGCCTCCGGAGAACCTGGCTGGTTCTCACGCTTGTGTGTAGCTCCTGTTCGGGACCATGCTACATGTATGTACTGCATGTGTGAAGCGTTATGCTAGGACACAAGGTCAAAGCTAAAAAACAAGAAAAGGTTGGGCGCTGCTGTACCACCCAAGTGCTCCAGTATGACAGCGAGTACAGCCATGCAGACCAAACGCGGGGAACTTGCCAGGCACCCACCAACCACACAGATCACGCTACCTCGTACAGCAGGGGTGGCCAATCTTATCCGCAAAGTGCCGGTGTGTATGCAGGTTTTCGCTGCAACTCCCTAATTAGATTACTAATTAGAGGACTGATTGGCTGCCAGCAAATGGCCTGGGTTTGAACAGCTGACCTACAGGTTATCCCAAAAACCTACATACCTGTACACACCGGCCCTTTGCGGATAAGATTGATCACCCCTGTCATACAGTCTTATAGTTCAAATTTTTTGCCCGAATGCTGCAGAACATTCTGAAGGACCCTGTCCAGTCCTGAGTTCCAGTTATGCAGTTTGCATGGGGTATTTGCAGTCAGTGATGCATTTTGCAGTGATGCATTTTGGGAATGTTTGGCCTTCAGTCCTGGAAAAATTCCAGTGCTACAGTCATGTTCAAAGTTTTGGTCCAACACTAAACAACTTAAAACGTTAAAGCTTTTTTGACACAAGTTGCTGTCTAAGGGCACACATAACTGTTCGTTCAGCACTTACAGACGAATGTTCATTTACGGCACGAAACAAACCTGACTGCCAACACAAACATCTTGTGCAGAGCCAACAGCCAGGTGACAAAAACATCAAAGCACCCTTCTGGTTTGTATTTTATTTCCACTACCAAGACATATAGACTGTACTCTTATCAGGAATATTTCCTACGGGATGATGAAAAAAGAAAAAAACCTTTTTCTATTTTCTGAGGGTATTCCTAAACAGAGACACACCTTCTTCACTTTCATAAGTCGCAAGCATAAACTGTTGACCATAATTCACAATTAGCTTGGATCTTTCATAATTAGAATAACACTTACCATGGATGCATCAGTTAGATATCAGATTTCGGGTCGCTACAATATAAGTTTAAATATGAATAAAAGAATCTATTTATTTCTAGGTATTTGCTGACTGTTGCTTTCAGTGACATATCAAAAGGACTAGAGAGTTATCATCATACCAAGAACCATCACTGCATGAAACAGTTCTCCAGTATGACTCATCCTGTTGGTATTTAACAGCCATGCAAAAATAAGTGTTAAAAATCTGTAGTTGAGTATATCTTAAATCTTTCATATGGCACTCAAAATAGCAGATCTTTTTCTGTTTAAAACCCAGCTGTCCTGCAGGAAGAGAAATAAATTTCTGAAATCCAAAAGGGGACTCAAAGCCCTAGCTATGCGTACTTTGTTAAATGTGCTACCCTTTTTTGTGCAGACAAAGACTTTCCCCTCATTTTGTTGTTTTTTGCTTGACTGATGAACCCTTACTCCTACCTCAAATCTGGAAGCCACTTGCAAAGCAGATACAAAAAACAAGCAACACTGGCAAAGGGTTAGGAGACAAAGGCAGTGTTTCAGTCTTTTTCTTTCTCATTCCTGATCTCCTATTGTCCCAGAAAACTAACAAGTTCATGGAAATCCAGTGCCGACATCTTCATTTTTTTGTGGCTCTGAGATGATTTTGTTTATCTCATTTCGAATGCAAAGTCTTCACTGTCACTTTTGTCTCATTACCCAGAAACTGTACCCCTGTCTTGTGATGGGGATTGGGTTATATCCTGCAGTCCATCGCCTTCCAGACTTCCGTTTACAGATGGGATGGTGCGCTCTCTCTCTCCCTTCAAGGTCCTCCTGTCAGGTGTCCTCATCCAGGTGCAGACCGATGGTGGAGCAAAGCCGGTCCCTCAAGGCCCACAGTGACTCGCTCTCCCTGACCTTCCTTTCAGGGAATCCGCGACATTCTTGGGAGGTTCACACTTCCTTCAGCGTCTCTGGACCATCGCAGTCACCTGTCATCCACTTTGCTGACACGGCATAGATCAGAGAACAAAGTTAAAGTGGCTGATCGTCTCCCTGCCTCATTTATAGTCAAAAAAGGGGGGCTGTCCGGAGAAGTGATGTCCCCTGTACTGAAACCTCGGAAAGCCTCTTCTCTAAAATACTGCCAGTTCTTTCTGCCTGTAATGACAGACAAATCCATCCAACAGAGACCTTCTATTTAGCAATTCACACAGCTAAATCACTCCCACACGCTCACACTATTCAACCGGCCCTCTCGAAAGTGCTCTCTGGCCTTTTGTGCAGTTTAACAACTGATTAAAACAAAGATATCCAGCTCTTGTGTGCCTCTGCCGTTCCCTGTGTGTCTACGGCCTCCCCTCCTATTCTAATGGACAGTTTGAGCAGTGGTTTCCTAGTCTTGCCTTGCCACAGTTCAAGTATCCGGGAGTGGGCTTCCAGAATGTCTCAGCAACACTGCAGACGTTCCACCGTCCACTGAGAAGTATAAAATATGGCCGCTTCAGAAACAAAAAGACTGAGGAGTGCACCACACAGCTCTTTCCAGAAAGGAGAGGGACAGAACAGGGACATTACACAGAAATAATGACTATAGGTTTCATCTATTTTTTCTAGTGCTCACCACCATCGTGTCGGTGGTACTTTTTTGTCCCAAACTTGGTGTCCCTGCCTCTACTCCATCTCCGCTTTTATCTTCAGTCCAAAGATTGGAGATGTAGCCCTGGGGGTCTGTGCCGTAGCACGGATTGCCTTCCACTCCCCTCAGCGACGTAGCTCTTTGCTCCAGGCTCCCGGTGCTGTTGCACTTTTTTGCCAGCAGGGGAGCCAGCGAGCCAGGCATGAGCAGCGAGTTTAGTGACAGGCTGCTCAGAGTCTCTGAGAAGTGTTCGCTGTTGCAGGCTTGACTGGACCCACCGCCTCCGATTCCAATCCCTAGATCATCGTCGGAGTGATCCATTGAATCCTGTCTGTTGCACCCTGGGCTGGTGCTGCCACCTCCACTGCTCTGACTCCTCTGGTGACCCCTAGTGGCCTGGAGGTTAAAAACAGCTGGAGGATCAGACAGGGGGTCCAAAAAGGGTCGCAGAATCTGTCTCGGGGGGCAGCGGCTCTTATCAGGGAGTGTACAGAGCAGAGGCAGAGGCATGGCGAGATCTTGTGGTGATGACATGCTGAAGCTCAGACCCTCCACCAACGTGGCGTGCAGGCTGCCCACTGAGCTCCCTGTGGCCACGGAGGAGTTACTGTGGGATGGATGCTGAGGGGTAGAGGAACATCATGCATCGCATGTTAGAATGAGTAACAGAAAGGACCACCATCCTTTACATTGAGTGTCCCTTACCTGTGTGCCAAGGGCCCTACTGTCGGCCCCCGGGGATCTGAGGGAGGCCCAGGAAGCAGGAGATGTGAGACAAGAGCCCTGTATGGATGGCAGGCACCCTGTCCCAGAGCTAGATGGGCGAACTGCCCCAGCGGGATGGAAGAACTCCGTGGGAAGGTGGAAGAGAGGAGAAGAGCCACTCCCACCTCCTCCACTATTGCTACTGTTGCAATGAACCGCTTCTGAAACTGGTAGGGAGAAAGAGAAGCTTCTAAATATGACAAGTAAAAGGATAAAATTTTAGTCTGTGCTACTGTACCATGCATTACTAGACTGTATGTAGCATGCTGACCTTCAGTTAATTCCAGTATCCAATCAATTACTCTTTGATTCAAACGTGTGTGTCTGTGGCCAGAAGGTTGTGGGTTCAAATCCCAATTCATCACTGGGCCCTCAAGAAAGGTCGTTAACCCCGAGAGCTGCCCCTTCTCTCTGATTCTCATTTATACAGTCTGCTAAGTACATAAACGTTTGTTTATTCCAAGCCTGTGATGCTGCGCTAGTCTCTGGTTGTTCAGTGATGCACACGCAGATTCCACTGAGCTCCGCTCCATTCGACGTGCGCGAACGTGGCTTCCAAATTTCATAAAAACAATAACAGAAATAAAAATCAACCTGTAGCAACAGCGAAAACAGCAGCGAGCACATATACCTGCTGGAGCCGGCGAGAACGGCGAGGGCGGCGCGTGGAGATCCACCCCGACTGCTTTGCCCTCTGCCTTCACTAGGGGGCTCTGATCCTGCGATGGCATGAGCCCTGGCTGGCTGCCCCCCAGGGAATTGGAGCTCTGTGAGCGACCGCTGCCATCCTCTTCTTCCTCCTGCCGCAGGGGTCCACCACACACAGGGGGTAAAACCCCTCAGTTACCGGCCATCGGTCTCGCTTCGACCAGTCATTGGAACAAATCCAGTACAAGTTCCTTGCTCGATCCAGACAATATTTCATTGATAATCATTCTCCATCTGGCCCCATTGATTAACAACAGCTAGCAGACACTAAGATTGTGAGGTTCATTGCCCTAATCTGCAGATTTACATCAATAATCCAATATTAATTATGTATCAAAATATTTTCAATTTATCTGAGCTCTACTAAAGCAGAACAGGAACACAAGGCAAATTTTGCCGAAACAGTAATTAAATTAATTAATGTCTGATAGATTTTGGAGTGAGTGGCACGGTGGATTTGGGAGCAGTGGGACTGGAAGAGGCGTCGGACTCGCACGGGTACCTTGCTGTCCCTCATCAGCAGCTGGTACACGCTGTGGTCGTCCAGGCTCAGGTCATCGGGGAACGCCAGCGAGGAGGACTTGTCAGAGAGCTGCTCCGAAGCCAGGGACGCCTGCTCCACCTCAGCCAGGCGAATCTGAGCCGGGTAAACAAACCGGGGAAGAAAATGGTGGCCAGCGATGAAGGCGTGGGAAGACGGATTACAACCGCAGGAAATGACTAGGTGGATCACAGACCACAGTAGCTCAGCCCAAAATGAAGCATAGATCTCCTCTATTTAGACAGAAGAGAGTGTGTTTGAGTTGAGCAAACCTGACTTTATTTAATTTTTTTTCTGGGCTGGCATGTCCAGTCTATAGACATTATCGCACAGAGGAAAAAGAGAAATGGTGAATGGAAGTTAAATAAATCAGCTATATCAAAGAGTGAAATGGGGGTAGCAGGACAAGCCGGCCAGATTGACGAACTGACAGCTTTCACTGGCAAACCCAGTAAGATGGACTGACAAGGGGTGAGTAATACACACAATACAACCCACAGCTCTTGAATAATTCAACGGCTGCACTCCCGGAAAAAAAAAGAAGCCTGGTTTATGGGGTTCAAATAACCGCTTATGAAAAAAGCTCACACGCTCACATGGCAAGTGCAGGTGACGTTCCACACCTCAGAAGCATGAAAGTGTTTCTTCATCCCCACTGCTATGCCGCTAAGAAATGGCCGATCACGTACTGTATTTGAAAATGCAGGAGCTGGGAAATTAGTGTGAAGAAGCTGGATGTGGGCATAGGAAAGGGGATCTGGAGGGCAGAGACGTAAATGAGGAATCAAAGATGCAATGAGTCATAAGGGCACATTAAATGAGGCGATAAACATTGCGCTAAAGACCGTTTAGTGATTTCGCTGTGCTAACTAAGAGGTGGAAGATGGAGACGGCGGAGCGACTGAGCCATTGTCCAAGCAGAACTGTCAACATCGGGCGATAAGGAGGAGCCCAGATCGCTTGCAACAACCACACCCTCTTGCCCACTTGAGCACTGGAATATTGATAGCTGTCTTGTTTCATGTTCTAAATGCTGCTAGTATATAACCGGTAGAACCGGTTTAGTCATTACGAGGTCTTGGCATGTCCGACAACTGAGCATTAATCTTCCCTGCTTTTCCTTGGTTGCTTGTATCTCCTCCTGTGTACCATCACATGCTTGTTCTCCTGGATCTGTTTCCCTGTATGAATGCCGATCCTAACCCCCATCTAGGTGTGCCTCAGTGTAACAATCTCACCAGACAGATTCCCAATCTTTATGACTTCTGCTTCTGATCCTAACTTTGATCTTCATCTAGTGTTTTGGCTTCTTGTTTATGCTGCCTTTGAATCCTCTCTCTATGGCCAATACTGTGTCCAGCAAACTGTTGCAGGGAAAAATGGATGCTGAAACTTCATTACAGGCCGCAGGGAAAACCTTTCTGAGGATATGATGTTCTCCAACAGACACTGTCAATCTTTTATTTCTTTCTTCTATTTTTTTTTTGCCTGAGCTCCACTTCCCAACTACTCGAGAACAAGTAGTGAGAGTACATTTCGGTTTGACAGCTACGTTCCTCAAACGTTCCCTGGAGGGTTTTGCTCTTGTAAAATTGGCCTTCATTAGTCCTGGCACCTACATTTTCAAAAACAAGCACAAGCTTCAACTTTTTTAACTCTAACACAATATACACCGCCTCCGCTTGGTGCTAAACACTGCATTTGAATGATCTTTCTTTGCTCCTTTCTAAACATATCAGCAGTATTCTTGATGTTTCCGGATGTCTGCCCTAGAATGAACTTACTCATCTGTTATTTAAAACTCTCATGATTTTTTTGTGCCTTGACCTTAAAAAAGGTCATGATCCAAAATCAGGAGAACACCTTCCACTTGCAAAATGCCTTCAGGTCACTACACAATCGGTCACTGAGGCTCGTTTGTTGATAGCACCAGATATCCAGGTGTCTTCTTGTCGAGCATTGCTGCAAGGCTTGGTTTAATCAAAACTCTTTAATTACCCACAGACCTTTGACTTATTTGATCTGTAAAGGTTCAAAAGAAATACATTTACTCTCCTGCACTCTCTTATCTGCTTCTGCTGTGGGCAACATAGCCCAGTACTCATACACCACCAACCACAATATATCCAGACATTACACTCACAACAGTAGCTAGAAACAGGATATGGGTCATTATTCCAACTCCTGCGCCCAATCACAGCCAAATATTTTAGCCTCAGGTGTCAAATCACATCCTTTACAGTCATTCATATATCACGAAACACATTTGTATGCATAAATGCTTTTTATTCTTTTTTTAATTATTTTCAACATCTTTCAAGAAATATATTTAATTGCCTTCTTAGTAAGATTTTAAGGAATAGACAAAATTTTCTTTAAGATCATGTTCCTTGGGAGCTTTGAATCACGTCACTCTCTTTAGAGATATAGTACTGTGCAAAAGTCTTAGGCAGTCAAGGAAAATGATGTTTATATGATTTTCATGTTGGTGTCGAAGTGCATTAGCATAAGCTTTTCAACCCCACCCAAGTATTTGCACTTACCATCAAATACACCCATGTATTTTCAGACTTCACCACTAGCACACCTCGTTTGGCAAATGAACAGCTCACTCAATCATTTTACTTAATTCGCATTTGTTCAAATGTGTTTTTTGTCTGAGCAGATACTCACTTTACAGATGAATGGATTTATAGATTCTCTTTGACTGTCTACAACTTAGTACTGTTGGTGTGAAGTAGCATAGTCAATGGAAAAAAAGGACACAATTATTTACACTGAGCATGTTGAACTGCTGGTGCTGACTCCAGTTTACCCGTCTTTCTCCAGTATCTCAAGAATCCCACTGGAATACGTCTCACCAGCTGAACTAAACATCACACTGATCTTATGGAATCTCAGCTCAGCCGAAGGCCAAACCACTGCTTCACTTTATGCTTCAAACCATTGCCTTTCAAAGCTGGATGGTGATTTATTATCTGCCTTTTAATCTCCACACAACTGTGTTATTCCACAAAAACAATAAAGCACATCACATACCTCAGATGTATATCAATGAATAGGTATTTATAACAACATCAAAAAGGAGAGAAAGCTATGAAGTCTACTACACACCATCCAGATGTGGATGATCCAGATGACAGTGAAATGCAAGTGTGCTATGGGAGCTATGGGGGGGGGGGGGGGGGGCTCACCTCTCGAGGATGGCGGCTGCAGTCCTTGCACACAGGAGGGGAGGAGTAGTGATGGAACACGGAACCCGAGAGGTTGTCGATCATCAGCATCTCCCCGTCGAAGGAGTCCTTGATGAGCAGCGAGACGCTGTCCAGCCACAGGTTCTCCTGAAAGGTATGGCCATGTGCTCATCCTCTGGGACGTTTCCCATGCAATCGACACTTATCTTGACCTGACGCAGTCACTCGTCTTCCAACACACTATTTATTTGCTCAGCTGACTTGGAACGAAATTACAAGTGAATAGGTACCTCTTGCAATACATTATCTTTCTCTTCAAGGAATAGCACAGGGTTTTTATGCTGGCTTTTCAACCCTGCTAGATAGACTTGTGAAGTATACTTTCTGTCAACATGCACTGTGCAGGGAGGTCCTGTTTTATATATGTGTCACTCATCTGTTCGGTCTGGTGAGATGTCAGTTGAAATGAAAGTGGTTTATCACGCGCTCACATTTTAGCTAAATGGCTTCAGCTCTTCTGTTTCTGCACAAACGCAGCATCTGTTTCTTCGCTCCAGAGATTTTCCACGCTTTGACCATTAAACAACCAGGTTACTTTCTCTCCTGAACCCTCCCAGTCCGTATGGAGCCATAAGGAAACCTGCTGCTTAATGAATGGTGTCAGGTGCCCTCACATCGTTACCAAAATGCGTCGCCAGATTGATTAAAATAAAAGGAGAATATCCTTATCATTATTCACATATTCCTGTGAAAAGTATCCTCTTTATTTTAAAGTATAATCAAGTAGTGTGTTGTTTATACTGCTGAGAACAGTTCTCCAACTAGTTCTTCCAATGGCAAAACCGTTGACAATACAGTCAATTACAATATTTATTGTAGGACCAACAGGGTGAGCAAGTTTAATGCATATTAAAAACGAAAATGAATCGAAAAACTGGGCACTTATTACAAGCTAACATTCTCCCCAAGTCTTCCTCATCTTTTGACAAGCTAACATTCTCCCCAAGTCTTCCTCATCTTTTGACAAGCTAACATTCTCCCCAAGTCTTCCTCATCTTTTGACAAGCTTACATTCTGCCCAAGTCTTCCTCGTTCTTCTTACAAGCTAACAGTCTCCCCAGGTCTTCCACGTCTTAAGAACATAAGAACATAAGAACTATACAAACGAGAGGAGGCCATTTGGCCCATCGAGCTCGCTCTTACAAGCTAACAGCCCCCCCAGGTATTCCTTGTCTTCTTACAAGTTAAATTCTCCCCAGGTAATTTGGGCTAAATAGACTTTATCTTCATCTGCTTACATTTAGCCCAGTCTAACTTAAATCTGACAAGTTATTCAGCCAAGTAAGAAATCCTGCTTCATGAAACAGGCCTTAGCGGTAGCCAGCCAGTATGCGGATTTTCGTTGCAACTCCTGATTGGCTAAAGAGTTCCCACACCTGGATTTGAACAGCTAACCTAAAGGTTATCCCAAAAACCTGCATACACACTGGGCCTTTGTGGATGTGATCTAGAGCATATCTGGAGTTTCATACCAGGCACAGGCCTTGGGGAAAGGGTTCAGATTCAACTTTAGTATTCAAGGGGTCATTATATGAAGGGTAAAGGGTATACTGTAGAATCAATCAATTAGCTGAAAACATGGTAGTTGTGTAAATGTAAATGTAACACATTGTATAAATCATCCTAGTGATCTTTATGTGTGTCTGGGTCTCATTTTTTCTACTGGAGAGGGTTAATGGGCGCCAGCTGATGAGATGGGACCCCATTTTTATTCTGAGGTCAGGAATCATTCCTTACATTTAGATGAATGCTACTGGGAAGCCCCAAGAGAGTTAACACCAGGTGGAGTGTTGGTTATGTGGCATTGCTCCCTCTCTGCATGGGTCAATGTCACTGGATTTTAGGTCTAACGCAAAGAGCATCATGCTAGCAAATGAATTCCTTCATTCCTTCTGAAAACCGGGATACATGAAAGGAATGGGATCCTCTGTCTCTGCTTCCTCCCACTCATGCAGCATCTATTCATTAAGCTCTCCTCAGCCAGTCCTCCCAGACCTGCGCCTTTGCACTGCTCCAACCTCCAGCACTAAATAAACACTTCATCCATGACATACTTCCATAATGCACTTACACACCATTCCCTGGACATAAATTCACTTTATGCCATGCTAAATCAAAAATGTCCCACCAGTCACCTACTTACTTAAACCATATTGTGCATGAATACATCCGACTGCCTATCTTGACCATCTTGTTGTACTTGCATTCTCAGTAAATGCTGCATTTCTATGCAACCATTGTGCGTCCTTCTATTTCATGCAACCTTGTGGGCAGTAAGTGTGGTGTCTCCCATTGGGATCCCACGATGCTTCCGTGTATAACCCTGCAATCACACCACAGCAGCTTATGTTAGGGTGATGATGGAAAGCTTCCCCTGATCCTGTGTGATACTTAACTCCTACACACTTTCCGCAGAGGTCAGGCGGTAATACGCAATTGATTTAAATCGCAGGATATGCAGTTCCTGCCCTAAAGGGTCAAGATCCTAATTAATTAATTAACACTAACTGCCTCAGGTGAGGTGGTTTATTATCCATGTAATAAAATCAATTAAGCGATTAAGGGTTGAGGATTTGAAAAAAACAAAAAAAAAAACAAAGCGTGA